AGCGCGAATCCATTCACATTAAGGCTCAATGTAACAAACAATATACTTTAATGGACCAGGATTTTATTTTGTTCCTTTTCAGCACATGAACTGGTGCCGTAAAGTCATACTAAATTACTCAAGTATTTTAGATAATGCTACTTTTTGACTCTACAATGTTTAGAATCGCAACGATTCAATTGCTTTAATTTGCTTAATTAATACTTTAATGTCTTTTATCTTAATAATCAAACTCGGATTGGTTTCAAGTAACTTTTCATTTTATTTGCTCTTCCTATGAAAATGCTTGAGCGTAAACATCGCAACATCGTTTATCAAAATTACAACTTATATATTGCATCTCAATACTTGATCCAAAAAATGTATATTAGTTGTAGAATTCATGTGAACGCCAATGAGATTAAACACATTTGCTTCAAAACAAATATGTGTGATCTTGTATATTTCAAACTTCATTATTATAACAATAATAAATTTTTGCAATCATGTTTGTTCCTATGCGAAGATTAACATACTTCTATCATCTTACCAAACTTCACATTTATAGACAGGGTTCATGTTTGTGCCTTTTGGACAATTAAAATCATGAGAAAACCGTTCCATATTGGTGAATGTTCCGATAATGCGGAATTTATTTGGTGCATGAAAGTCGGTTGTGTATTGAATTGTGTCGAATTCGGGCCGTGTAACTGCACACCACAATTGAGCGGCTGAAATCCAGAACAGCTGATTTTGTGTATAATGCAGTCCCGGTAATAAAGGATCAGGACCATTGAGATTCACAAATGTTTGATATGCTTCATAAATTCCTTTCACACCTCCATTGTCAGCTATGTTCTCACCTACGGCAAATCGAGATTTAAAACGATTTAAAATGGTTCAAACAATCCACAGAATTGTGAATATTCTGAATTAAATTGTGAAATCATTCATGAGTGATATCATTGTAATTTCTAATGAAAGATTGATAATTAATTGATCAATTTGGATCAATTCGATAATTAGTTTGATCGCGTAAAATGTTCAATCTGGTATTTTGAAAGTTTTTTTTATAGACTTGAATCGATTTCAGCTTTAGCTTATCGTTCTAGAGGATGGACGCCAGAATCTCACCTTGTGTATTGACTCCATTGACCTAAATGGAACGATTCCATAGAAATTTGAAGTTATTATTAAAATTTCATGCACGCACATAACATAGTAATCCATTCAACTCACTTTTAAACCGGAAACGGAGTCTGTATAGTTCGAATACTGAAAAAAGAGTGAGGAAAGACATCTTCTTTTGAATGTTTTTTTTTCGGGAAATCCATCTGTGTGCCTACCTGATCAACGATACAGTTGGCTTTTGCTGCAAATCTGTTTGCGGTGTCGTGTTTCCACCAATCCATCAAATTGCCATTCGAATCGAATTGCCGCCCTTCGTCATCAAAACCTATGAAGCGTATATTAAATGCAATTTTAATAATTATTCAAAGAATGTTGAAAAATTATCGAGAATTATCAAAAAAAAAAACACCAAAAAAATATGGAACTATATAAAAAAGAAATATAAAAATGAAGAAAAATGCTAAACATAAATCTACCGTGGGTGATTTCGTGGCCAATAAACCAGCCAATGGTCGCGTAGTTCATATAAGATGGTCTACGGTTGGTACATACAATGTGAATGAGAAAAGAAAAATGATTATTTCAGGCTTTTCCAAACATGTGTTTTAAGATTGCTGAGCATCTCAGCATTTCGTAAGGCACGGATATATCCTAGCATATCGACGACGCATACAGTGGCGTGCGTTGCTACGCGCAGCCGCAACGACTCGACCGGAATGTGTATGTTGTTGCTGCGTGCAGCCACATCAACTGAACACACTTCGGTCGAGTCGTTGCGGCTGCACGTAGCAACACACGCCACTGTATTATACAGTATGCGTCGTCGATATGCTCGGATATATCCGTGCCTTACGAAATGCTGAGATGCTCAGCAATCTTAAAACAAATGTTTGGGCTTTTCAGGATGTTAATTCAGAATATTCACCGATCAATTTTGAAAAAATGATCTTGAAGCACAGCCGCTGGCAATTCTGCAGAGAAATAATTTTGTAGAATACGTATGATATACTTATTCATTATGTTGAAACTCAACAATTTTTCTATCAAAAACAAAAAAGGGTTTATCGATCAAACTTACGAATACTATTTTCGAGTAATGAATAAAATGCATTCACAATGAATGGAATCGAATGAGTTTCCCAATCGGTTTTATTGACCGGTAATCGCAACTTTCGAATCAGATTATTACTTTTAAAAATTCGAACGCGTCGAACGTTGTCATACAAGGAATTGGACACTAATTCTAAATGTTGGTAATATTCTTCCAATTTATTATTATCGACGAGTTCCTCGGGATATGCAATGTGATAGTTCATTTTGTGCGCCTTTTGAATGGCTTCTTTTCGTGTATCTCCGTCCATCCATTCGACCGTTTGCAACGTTTTAATAAATTGCTCGTAAATCGTTTTAACAATTTTCGTTGCAGCTATTTTGGATTCTTCATTGAAATATTTTCGAATATACGAGGCTCCAACGGAAATCGATAAACTGAAACGAAATTTGGGGATTTTCAATTATAAAATGTAATTTCTTCTAAAGAATACTTCATTATTCACGAGTTCATGGTCTGTTTGATGCATTCGGCTTCACGAGTATCGGCCTGCTGCATGCCAGTCGTTTTAGCAAGATATTGATCTAATTTCTGATGTAGAACATTGTCCAAATAGTCAGAAGCGAAAATAACAGCACGCCAAGCGAAAAAGTTGGCAATCGTTCGTTTGGGAGTCGTTTTGAGTATGTGATCAAGTTGAGAGACATATTTTGTATCCAGCACAATTACAACTTCATTTTGGTTCACTTTCAACAGATCATGTAGATTCCAATTGATATAATCCAGCCAGTTGATGAATGGGTACTTTGTCTGCAGTTGACTAATGGTGAATGGATTGTAGAGAGCTGTTTGATTACGACGCTCTTCGGAAGTCGATGCGATCTGAAGAAGATAATGGATGAAAATTGAGTAGTTTGAACGCATAGTGTGGCAATATCCTAACTGGATCAACTACCTCTCACTCTTCTTTAATTGGGTTTGCGCAAAAATGAGAAAAAAATGATACCTTTGCCAATTCCATCTCAAATTTAAGTGAATCAAGTAGTTCCATTTCGGCAACGCTTTTATTTGCTCCAAACACCACAGCCGAATCAACCATGAACTCATAGTAGGCTTTCACGTTTGAATCTTCCAAGTCGTGCAGTAAAAACTTTTGTGATAATCCAAAGCTTGGCTGATCAATCTAGAAACGAAATATTGTTTTTGCTTATATTTGCAAATGATATACTTTTGTGTGCAGTATTCAGAGACTTCACATGTGAGAAGAAAAGAGCAACAAAAGGAAATCTAAAACAAATTACTGAAATAACGCGTTTCAATGAGTTCTTTGAATCGGTGGCGATTGCGGTCTTTAGTATCATGCTGTCAATGAGTCCAGCATCAGACATTTTCCTATTGGCGTCGATCCAATCCCAGTTTTCGCCATGCCATTCGTCACCCTTGACAACCGGCCATCCACCGAAAGTTTCCAATGTTTCTACCAACGGTGTTACGCCTGACGAAAAGGATTAGATTATGGAAGGTAATTGGTGAAAATCGAAAACTAAACCAAAAATAATTCATCTATTTTACCCATTTCATTCAATGCCATTTCATTCAAACAGGCGCGCATAAAAGTTTTTGCCAATGTGAATGGTTTCGATTCATTTAGATACGGGTCTTCAGTGAGAATTGTTCGCAATTGCTCTTCGACTTTGTCCTGAACTTGTGTGAATGACATGATAATGGTTTTGTTCTTGGGTAAAATGGTGTTTCGAAGGAAATTTCCACACGCAAAATCATAGAAATTATCACATGGATGAATTGATTCATCAAGCGAATTCAGCATAGCGGATGCCTCCCTTGCACACGTCTCTGTTTCACAAATATCTGGGCCACCGCTTGTAGTATTCGGTAAACTGTTAGCATTTACACACCACAGAAGGAGAACGACACTGAAAACCACGCTGAATGACTGCATGGTTACCAAATTCTAAACAAAAAATGAAATGAATGAGAATTTAATGAATTTCTTTTTCGGGCAAATTTTTTTTATCTAAATGTTTGCGTTTTCGCCACAAAATGTACTAGAAATTCACCACTTGAACTATAGGGAGTTTTTCCTTAACGAAACACTTTTTTTTCTAAGTGTTTTTATTTTATTTTTAAATTAATGAAATGAGGCACAAGCAGAGCTATGTCTTGCTTGGTTGGTGAGTTACAGAAGAATAAATTCTAGAGATACATTTTTTTCCCTAGCTTAACTAATTGTTTTTCTTATCAATATTCTGCAAAATAGTGGGGAAGGCATATTGACCAATGAAATGAGATAAGTTGGTAAAAAGGGATGGGTTTGCACTTGACAAGGTATTAGGAATGTGAACCATCAATACGGCTTAAAGTTCCGAATGGAATGGAAGGTAGACGAAAGAAAAAGGGATTAGCATATGCTAATAGCTTTGAGTGCACATTTTGAGCACAAAGTGGCACCATAATGTCGGGTACGTCGGGAATTACCCAAAAAAGGAAGTCAGTTTATGACGAAAATGCATCAGTTTTATTGCCTAACGTGGTACGTAGCTGAACTGCGCACGCATGTTTGTTGATGTTATACTGTGTGGGGGAATTCCAAATGCAATTAGGAGATGAAAAAGACAAGAAAGTGGAAACGAGACGAAAATAATAAAAATTATTGAGGATGCAGACAAATATTGAAGTCTGCAACAAAAACAGAAATGCAATTTTTGTGCTCGACGCATATTTCATTCATGCGAAATGGTACCATATACAAAATATGAATCGTGTAGTCAATTGAACACAATGGCAGTGCCGATATTGCTACAGAACGAAAACGATTTTGAAGAAGAAAAAAATATAAACAAACCGTACAATCGCGGTGATAATTCCAATTTGGAATGCCTTGACTAAAGCTACAGCTGTTTATTTTGTCTAAAGATTACAAATGAAACCAAACAATCAACGTATGACGGACACGATTTGTTTTTATCGCCCGCAAAACACATTGAAACAACGGAAACCGACTTACGCAATAAAATAAATATTCTTTAGGCCAAAGACAAAACTCCTCTTAAAGGTTATCAGTGTTATTATATATGACGCACGCCATTGGGCGCCTTATTTAAAGTACGAATGAACATGATTTCATGGTATGCATAGCAGTGAGCATTTATTCCTTTCAGAATTTCAATGTTTTTACTCATCAAACCGAACAGCAATATACAGCAAATTAGGTGGAAACAGGTTTGATAGTTGGAAAAAAGTGAGTGAAACACGGACAGATCAGTCATTTATTGACCTTTTAAATACTTGATTTCAACTGGTTTATTCAGGTTTAAATTTAAAATTTGAATAAACCAGAAAAAAATAAACTATTTTTTGGTTTCTCATGCACAAAACTCCATTTTGATATTTGCATATTCAAAGATGAAACAAATGTAGACGATGATTGATGATTTCTATGTAAGTTTCCTTATTAATTTTGTGTCTTTTTGAGGTTTTTTCTTCTCGAATTATTATTAACACAAAACACCATCGAAAGGCGTTTCTTCAAAGATTTGATCGATGACCAAATCAATTCTTAATATTGACTTTCTTGAAGTTTCATCAGTTAAATCCATATTCAAATCGTCACGTATTCAACAAAGGTTGGTCGATTGAACGGCTTAATCGATATCAAGGATGAATATTGTGGCATCTTTAGCTTCGATTCGGAGGAATATTTTTGATATCTGTAAAACCGTTCAATCGATCTACCCTAACGGCACTATTTCAATCACGATTGCAATCGTGAACGAACGTACGCCTTGGAAATAGTGTCTTAATATTCAATCATTTCTAATTCAATTTTCCCGCTGATCCCTACATTACAATCCAGAAATATTGCGCACCGTCACATTGAATGAAGTATTCATGAATTCAAGGAACTAAAATCGACCTAGACTTCACTTCTATACAGAATCGTCGGTTGGAAAATTGAACTATGATATTCATAGTATGAATCATCAACAGAGTCTCTTCACTCTAAGGTAACCAATTCTTCCAAAGGAAAAATCCGTACATTTTTCGATTTTTACAGATTTTTGAACTGAAACATCCGTACAATGGCAAAAATGGTTATAAATCCATAGAAATTCATACGGTAGCGCACAACGGAATCCATACTGTATGGATAATTCGCCAAAAAAAGTCCAAAAAAATCCATACGGTTCACCTTATCTTCACTCGACTCTTCAAACTAAAACACAATTTTAACATGAAACAAATAATCGTATTGAAAATTTTGAAGAAATGAACACAGTACCAAGTTTATTGATTCAATAAAACGTTTTTTTTTTAAACAAAACTTCAGTATTTCTTGACGGCGATAATTTCGAATCCTCACAAAACAAATGCTTCTGGTTCAAAGTGTCGAATGATACTGACGGCATTTGAATAGTAGATGTAAATGTAAATGTAAATGATCGCATCAAATTAGGAATTATCTCTAGACCTACACATCTTCGGCGAGTGTATTTGTGTGGGTTCACATGTGGTAACGCCGGATTGTAAATTAGATTGAAATTTTCAAGTATTTCTGATATCAATATTTCACAATATGAGTTTTTATGTGTGTGAAATGGCGCTACAAAAAATTTGGTTAGCCTTGAAATGATGTAATAAACCGGAAGCAACAACGAAATTATCAAAGTTGGGAGCCAGAGAAAGATTAATCGAGACCAAAAGTGAGATGTTTTTAAATCTTGTTTTTGAACGCGTCAAGTGAGTTTTTGTTTGCTCTTTTGTTTGTTCTTCTTCTTTATGGTTTGTTGCTCGCTTTTATTTTCTATCCTTCGTTAGAGAACAAGATATTGCCAATATGATATTGGGGCATTCAGTGAACTTGTATACTCATTGCAGTTGATGCTGTTCATTCGTCAGTTTCACACTCAGTTTTGGATTATAGAAAGTTTGGAGTTGAAAAGACAGCTGTATTTACCTGATGATATTCGAACTGACTTTCCTTAAGGCTAGATTCAATACCGTTTTGCACAGGGCCAAGTAATGATAATATACAAAATACGATCATCAATTTATTTTCAAAACAGTAGTGTTTTGATTATCAACGAACAAGCGTTTAACCCTCTAATGCATTAATTTTTCCCAGAGCTGGGAGTACTGGTACTTGGTTGATTTTTGGCCATAGATAATTTAAAAAATATTCATAATCCTGGATTCCTCATGGTTTAGTCAGAAAATGCGATTGACATAAATCAGAGAACAATCAAATCCATTGTTTAAAAGTGTCAAAAATGTGTCTAATTTGGAGTTCGAATAATTTATTTTGTCAAATTTTTGTTTTTGCACACATTTTTTGTTAATAACTTTACAATCACACTACATAGACAAATATTGCCAAAGACAAAAATGAAGAGAAAATATTGACGAATAAAAATTCCTTTTGAAGCAATGTGATCCGATGTACGGTTTACGTTCTACAGGCATTCAAATGTTGCCCGTCTAGAGGCGGTTGTATGCATTAGAGGGTTAAAGTGGTTGGACGCGCAAATACTAGTGTTCGCAGATCCGCAATTTGTCAAACACAATAAGGTTTGTCAATCATTGCTTCGCTAAGCGTAAATTGTTGATATCGCAGCGATTAACTCAAATTGAGTCATGGAATACAATCGTGGTTTTTCAAACCGTTAGAATGAGTTTAATGAGTGATCAGTGATTACCGCGAACGCCGGCATCATTTGCCGTTTTATGTATGGCATACCCATACTCTATCACAACTATTTCCGAATGAATTTGTTTACATTGATTTACATTTACAAAGGCTGATGAATCATTCAGTGAGGAAACACTGAGGTGTGCGCCAACGTGTCTCGCTATCAGATTTACAACTAATTCAAGTGTATGTTCGCACGAATTTGTTTACATTTTTTTATATTACATTACCGGCAAAAATGATCATAAACAATGAGCCTTCTATCAATAATTCTTTGTCTTTCTCGTGGAAATGATAAGCGATAACAATATGGTATCGTCAACAAAGTCATAGAATTAGTCAAGTACAAAAATTCTGCTGAAACACAAAGTATACAACACAATCTTCGTCTTCAATTTACTTACAATTTTGTTTTTTTTACCTTTATGAACATGTTCTAAAATATTGATGAAAATCAGATTTGTGAAATTGAAATCTAAACAAATTAACGTTTATTTTACGGGATTTCATCGAAATATTTTCATTGCACACTCAATATTATAGCGACATCTATTATTAAAAAACCTTTTAGTAAACGCATTCATAGCATTTCCCTATAGCTGCGATGTTTTCTATTAATTTCCCCTGTAGTACTGATACATTGATGTTTGACACTTGTCAAACGGCCTCACTTGTCATTTCATAAAGAAAACAATTCGTGCAAAGATGGATTTTATGTGTTTTCATTGTTTTGATTACTTTTCTCTCATAGAAGATCTCATCAAACATTTTAAAAAAATCCACAGAATAAGAAATAATGCTCAAGATTTAAAATGTCCGGTTAATTTAAAAAAAAGGTTAATTTGTAATAAAACAGTGCGAACGTTTGATGCGTTAAAAAAACATGCAAGCACTTGTGCAAATTTGAAACGTATTTCTGAAATTGAGCAAGAATTTACGACTCTCGATATAAACGAACCTCGGCGTGAGACACAATTTGAGGATATTCAAGAAAATTTTGCACAAATTGACTTGGTTCAAGAGGTGATTATTTTGTGTTATTAATCGATAGCGTTGAATCCATGTCGAAATAGTCGGGATTTCACCTTCATTTGTGAATGAAAGGTTATGCATAAAATTTGATTGCAATTTGGTGTTATTGTAGGTTCAAGCAGATACGAATGGTAACGCGATAGTTGTAAACGTCAATCCAGGAATTTCAATCGATTGTATGACCAACGAAATCAAATTCAGATGCGATTCTGATGACGAGAGCGATAAAATACACCGTGATATGGAATCATTTCTCATGACATTTCCATCGAAAATAAACAGTATGCGAATTCCAGAGGATCGAATCACTCAATTTTATGAGCATTCTATTGAGCTACTAACAAAATTTTCACGGTTTGTGGGAGGCATGATACTTGAAGAAAATGGATATTCCAATTCGGAAAAAATTGAAACCGCCAAAATGTACGTGCTGGAATATCTGAACCAATTCAAAACAGCATACAAACGCCAGAAGTTCGTTGAATCATGTCCTAATTACGTGAAGCCTCGAGAAGTTGCGATTGGAACCCACTTTGAAATGAAACGATTGAAAAACCAAAACATATCAATACCGAAGCTACTTCAATCCAAAGCGTATTACATTCCTATCACCGATACAGTTCGGGCTTTGTTTGAGAATGAACAGTTCCGAGATGTTTACATGAAATTTAATAGCTCAAACCCAATGGAGCGGGAACATTTATGTGAAGAAGACGTTTATTGTAGATTTTGTTGTGGAAAAAGTTTCAAGGACAATGCATTGTATCAACAATATCCAAATAGCTTGCAAATTCGAATAGGAACAGATGATTTCGGCGTATCAAACCCACTTGGACCCACAGCAACAGTTCATAAATTGACTGCCGTATACTTTACCATTCAAAATTTATCGACGGAGCTGCTATCGAAAATAGATAACATGTATGTCGTAGCTCTGATTCATGCAGATGATCTAAAGACAAAAGAAACTGACTTTAACGATATTTGGCGATTGGTCGTGAGAGACGTTGGATATTTGGAAGAGTTTGGTGTAAAAATTGGTGACGATAACCTAATCAAAGGAACAATTTCTCACTTCAATTCTGATAATTTGGGATTAAACTCATCTCTCGGATTGACTGAAGGATTCCAGGCAAACCATTATTGTCGAATTTGCAAGTTGTCTAAAAGTGTGTGTCAAACGCGGTGTAGAGAGGATATTTCTGAGTATCGAACATTGCAAGACTATTACAAACAATTAGAAATTGTTGAGAATTCTACTAAAGTGAACTTGACCGACAGCTGTGGAGTTAAGCGATATTGTGTTTTGAATGATTTAGCGTATTTTAACATGTTCACCAATGCGTCGGTTGATATTATGCATGATCTCAACGAGGGTGCCATACCGTGTGTGCTACACCACTTTTTTACATTACTTATTACATCAAAATTGATAACTGAGAAAAGTTTAGTACAAAAAATTCAGTACTACGATTATGGAGTGTTGAACTCGAAAAAAACACCAGCTGTTGTAATGTTGTCCAAGCCAAATTTGAATCAAACGGCGACACAGGTAATGTGTCTATTTCGGCACATTCCATACATTTTGTTTGAGCTACGAAGCAACATTTCCCTGGAAGGTGCATGGAAGTGCATCCAATCTCTGCTGAAGATCGTTCAAATAGCTTACTCAAATCGACTAACCGAGATTAATGTGACAGAACTGGAAAATCAAGTAGCCTTACATTTGGATTCAATTCAAAAAACGTTTAAAATTAACCTAATTCCAAAACATCATTTCATGACGCATTATGGAACAATAATCCGAATGATGGGACCTATAATATTCTCGAGTATGATGCGATTTGAGGCTATGCATCAATATCTTAAACGACTAATTGAAACTTCACGTAATTTTATGAATATCACAAAAACGATAACAAAGAAATATCAAGCGCAATCTACTCTAAATGTAAACTGTTTTACGAGTGACTCTCAGTGTGGGCCTAAAACTACATTCGCTAGAATGGCATCGACTTTTGATGAAGCTGAGCAAACATTAATATCTAAATACTTTCCATCTCCAAATGAATTGTTCGTAGTTAAATGGATCACTATAAATAGTTTCACTTATAGAAGAGATTTATTTGTTATATTTCAAAAAAAGTTATTCCAAATCCAAAATCTGTATGTTCATGAGAATGAAATGTATATTGCTTGTACTGAATGGGTTTATATGAGCTTTGATGACTTCTTAAATAGCTTGCAAGTGATAGAATCTGAAGTAAATGAGAAATCGTTGATAAAAATAGCAGATCTCAAGCATAAAGAATCATTTGAATATAAAAAAGTCAACAATAAATTTTACATCATAGCGGAAACGATGATTGTAGAGGAAGTTATGTGTCAAGGTTGAAAAAACACGAATAAAGCAAAAAAAAAATAATTTGTAGTTTATTTTGGCATATATTCCTTGAAAAATAAATAATACTTCGTTTTTTATTTCATTTTTTAGCTCTTTATAACATGTGTGTTATGAAAATATAAATCCTTTTGTAAATTTCGCATTCAGTCTAATAAGTCTCCACTAAAATTTAACATTATATCTATCCTATTTGAGATATATTGCATATATTTCTGATTTTTGTCAACAAAATCTTGTGTTTTAAACTATCAGTTAAATCAAGTTATACATAAAAACATCACTGAAGAGAGATCTTTGGGGTGTATTACATTTTGTCCGCTAAATTTTTATATGACCATTCATAAGCTCAGGTTCATGCTGCGCTTGGCGCTAATAAGTCCATATCATCATCTTTTTCCAAATGGCCCGAAATTTCCAAGTACCCCGAGATTTCCAACATACGATTTGTCGGTCTGTGCTCATTTTTTACTTTGTAGATAAAATTTTCCACAAAAACCATCATATTGTGGAGACGTGGTTCATATTTCAAATCAAAAATTTTATGAACTTTGAAGAACAGGTCAAAGACATGCAGAAAATCCATATCGTCAGGTAACTGTTGAGAAATTGCAATACAGTAAGAAAAATGTTCTAAAAAAATTGTATGAAAGAAAAGTACGACAAATTACCGGTATTATTTGGTTTTCGACCTTCAAACAGAAATATTGAATTTCAGATGATGTTTCTCCGCAAGCAACAATCGTAGGATAGCTCTTCGAAGCCTGAGCCAATTCAGTTGGCGGCGTGTGAAGCTGTCAAAAATTTAACGAAACAATTTATTGTAATTGTACTACTAGAACACTACGACTTTTTCAACTAAAATATGTATATATATTAGTTACCATTTCGAATTTTAAAAGACTTTCGACCGATAAATCGAAATTCCTGCTGGTTGCGATTACATTTCTTCCAACTTGCTTTGATGGGAACAATTGAAGTAACAGGAGAACGGTCTGAATGTCCGCACACCAATTTGTTTCATACGTTTTTTTTTTGTTCTGAACTGTGAGCACATCAATCAATTGTCTATGATAGTATTTCCAGTTATCAATCATTCCATTTGAATCTACGTGTGCAGTGTTGTATTTAGCCTCGAACTCCATTGGAATCTTTGAGAAAATGTAAAAGTAAATGTAAAATTTCAAAACGAAAATATCGAGTTTCTCCGAATTGATTAAAATGAAAGGCCTACCATTATGCCTGGATGAGTAAAAAAGTACGGAAAGTGTTCTTTTAGTTCAGTTTCATCTTTTTTCATCATCAAGTCGCGATAATTTCGAGTTGCATTCAATTTTTCTTTGAACGTTTCCAAATTCTCGGCACAAACAATCAGACTCTTCAAGTAATCGACATCCGCTTGTGGATTTTCACTTTCTTGGATTGGATTTGATTGAGGAATAGGCTTCTCACCTTCTTCTTGTTTCCTTTTTGTCTGGCGAACATGATAAAACCGAGTGTTCAACCAACCACCATTTGAACCATTGACAAGGGTTCGCTGGAGAAACGAAACAAATTAATCAATTGGGAAATGAGTAAAAAATTCACCAACTTACTATTCCTATGTTCTCCCCATCTTTGAATCCAAGAAATGGGAACAGCTTTATCAAAGCCTGGGAGACCATCTGTCGTTGGAACATGGTTAAATTTTCACCGAATTGTTCAATCATAAAATCGACGGCAATTTGAACGATTTTATGCCGAGATCCCACGTCTTTTATTTGTTCACCTTTGCATTGATCTAATAAATCCCGTTGATTTATTGACTTCATGTAATCTTCAATCATCTGTGAATCAAATAAAGATCGTTTGAAATGACTGGCACGAGTAGAATTTATTCAATCGACAAGACTCTACTCACTTTTGGTGTCATTACATTCATATTACGCGAACTTTGGTCACCCTTATATGAAAGGTTTAAATAGAACGAATCGCTCCTCCAAAATGCTTTCACGTGATACAACACCTTACATTCTGGTATTGGAATACCGAAACTATCAGCCAAATTCACTTTAACTTCATTTTGAACTTTTATTTGGAATGCACCGAATGCTGGAATATAAGAATTAGTTACATTGAGGTTACGTCTATTTGGAGTATTTCCATTCGAGTTAAACGTTTTTGAGTTGCTGAATAATCGCAACAAATTTTAAAACATCTATTTTAAACAATTAATATTTCTTTAAATTGTCATAAAAAGAACATATTATTCAGTTTTATGTGAAAACCACACTCACCGGAACTTAGTAAACTTTGCACTGTGAGCTCCTCTTTCTTGATATAAATGTTACGTAATTCGGATTTGAATTTTATTCTAATTATAAATTCGTCAAAATCTTCACACATTTTTGTGAAAAATTTATTTATATTTTCGATTATTCTAAGTAATCACAAAAATGCCGGCACTAAATTGGCTCACAACACAACCCGCAATCTCAGACGGTGTTTTTTTAAACGTCAAAACAGTATGAAGTTTGACATGAAGCACAACTACATACCACAGGGGAAATTAATAGGAAACATAGCAACTACAGTGAAATGCTATGAATGCGTTTACTAAAAGGTTTTTTAATAATAGATGTCGCTATAATATTGAGTGTGTGCAAAGTATTGAATCCATGGTATGCAAAATGGGCACATATTCAATGCCCGAGCGAATTTCACATCTGTGTTGAGTTTATTGCAAAAATCGTACGTCGAATATTCTGTGGAATGTCGCATTGCATGCATCAGTATTATTTCAACGAACAGTAGAGCTTCAATTAGTAATCAGTCAACAAATTCATGGAATCAGCCACTACAACTTCGCTGAACTCATTAATTCATCATCTATGATCAGTTACGCAAAAAATACAAAGAACCACATTCGAAATTCACTTCTGTATTTCTATTTTTATTATCAGCAGCACATATATATGCGTGTTACTTAGCGCTTTCATCAAAGCTTGAACGGAATCGAGAGCACTAGTCATTATCATTTATTCATAAAATAAACCGTTGGCATAATGATATCTTTGCTTGAACAACACACAAGTGTATGAACAAAACCTTTGCCTGTGTTACCATATGTTTTTTGAAGTATTGATTGAACAAAACGCTTATTGTTGCGCTAAAATTGCCGAATATTCAGTGAAAATTTGGATAAAGTTCATTTTTGGTTGGTGCTGCTGTGTATTCAACGTCCAATCTTGGGATTTCCGATCGGCTTCGTTTAATGGCCTTTCTAAACCCTATATAACATGTCACCGTCAGTATATAGATGAGCAAAACGATCACTGAAGAAAAAAAAAATCAACAAAATGTGAGTCAACTTGAAATGGTTTTCATGTAAGTGATAAAATTTCATAACGTTACCTGTTGCGATAATAGCTACCATGTCAAAAATAACAAAGATTATTCCCCATTCACCTTTGCTATGTGATTTCTGATTAAATGATTGGATCACTCTCACTGCTACATAGAATGCTATGTTTATCACCCAGATCGCAAATAATGAGGAATACCAGATCACAAGTGGCAGAAGAAGAGCTGGTTTGTTCTGTTGAACGATTTTTTTTTTTCAAAACAAAATTGATTTAATATGGAATAAAGTCAGTTGAAAATCATATTGAAGCTTCGGTAACAAATGAAATTAATTTGATTACAATTCTATTGACTAGATCGAGAGGAGAGTAAGTTCATCTGACTTTGTTATGAAAGAGAAGAGTAAGTTTCTATCGACTCAAAAATGGTTAAATGCGAGTATGTTCATTTTTGGCGGGTCCTCGCGGTTTTTCACGGTTTCCGCGGAACTGATAAGAGATAACAACTTGGTGTCTTCGGCAAAGTTGTAGCACTTGAGGTCTTCTATAACATTGCTGAAAAAAGTTATCTCTTATCTCTTATCAGTTCCGCGAAAAGCGCGAAAATGATAAGAAAAAAAAAATTCTATATAAAATTTGCTTTTTTTTGTGCGCGATTTGCGCGCAACTGATAAGAGATAAGAGATAGATGTCTTCAGCAATGTTATAAAAGACTTCGAGTACTACAACTTTGCCGAAGATACCATGTTGTTATCTTTTATCAGTTCCGCGGAAACCGTGAAAAACCGCGGAGGCTAGACGGGATGCCAACATACTTCCTTTTAACGCAGATAGAATCAACAGAAATCATACTCTCCTCTTTCAAAATATATTAGAATTGTTTCACATACTCTCCTCTCGATCTAGTCAATAGAATTTATTGACATATAATTTCAGGGTAAAAACTGTGCTAATTTTATCTAGAGTTCACTTACAAAGAATAGCCCGAAAATCCAAATTATGCTCGCAATTAAATTTATAGCTGGAATTGAATAAAATTATTAAATTTATGAGAGTGAGACGAGGGATTGTTGAAATGAACGCAATGTTTGTATGATTATTGGCCAGCGATGAAACGACAACAACAATAACACGTATTTCCAATGTAAACATAAGACGAGCTCTACTGACACGACGCTTGTGGTGATAGTTGAAGATTTCAATCACATAAGCGTATGCATGGCCGATAATCAAGTAGCCTTTCGCGCAAACCGTATAAATCATATGCTAGCGTGTCTGTATTTTGTGTATATATTGACCGCTCAACGTATGTTGTGTGTATGACCACTAGAGGCAGGTCGAATGTTGTCGTCAGTATGGATTTCATAGCCGCGTACGTCACACACGAATTTCGCGTGCCGAATGAGATACACATAGAGCGCTGTTATTGTCAAATCTAGCAGTGCGTATTGCATGTGTGTGTGTGTGTGACATGAGTCTATTTTGTAGATTCCGCGCGTCGTTCAGGAATATATAAACATAGAATGCCATAAAACATATTGTGAACGAACCGTCGAATCAAACATTGTTCAAAGTGTATCTTCACAAAAATTCCCAATAAAATACATCGAACTTACCAAGTATAATGAATTTATAATGATTGATCGTAATAACTATTATTTTTGTATCAAAGCCATCAAAGTAAATTATATTGACTCCAATTCCAATTAAACCAATTATATAGCCAAGAATCTTCCATTTGGTGATCCCATGATCTATTTCCATTTTCAGCGTGTTTTCGATTGCGTTTTCTTTTGAACTTGAACTTGATTTCTGGTAAGTAGAACTTAAATTGGTTTGTAATGCTTTCACTTGAGAAAAAAAATCTGAATCTTGAATAAACTTAAAACAAGTCTGAAGCTTGAACAGCTTTTTTTTATTATCAAGTATTCAATTTGCAGTGAGAGTTCTGGTTGGAAAAAATCTGCCAACGATCGCAAAAAAGTCAAGAAAAAAATTAAAAGGTCAAAATCAACCAAAATGAACCGATAAATTAAATGTTGCTCTCTACGCTACAGCTAATGCGATACTGTACGCGTATTCTCAAGCTTCACTCTACAACTTATTTTGCTTTCGTTTGGACAATAAATTCATCGCGAGCGTTACGCTAGCACAGTCGTTTACAGTCTTAACAAACAAAAATTTCGGGTTAACTGAAAAGTTTAAAGCCAACGCTGCAAATTAAAAAAGAAAACAATGCGCATACAGAAGCGAGTAGCGAGTCGATGCGTGAATGGTAGAAGTGATGCGCTTTGCGCATGCGTACTTATTTGGAACTTTATTTATAGAACTTCTACTTGATTACCTGTCTCTTTGTGGAAACATCAGTGAATAATATGCACGGTTTAAGTTGTTTTCAAATGTTTTCTGTTTTAAGGCGTGATTCTGATGGAAATTTTATAATTTAACTCATAATTTCATTTACTTAAAACTCAAGTTCGATCAAAACAGCGTTTGTTCATTCAAACAATAAGTCTGAGTTTGAAGCGTGATCACCGCCAACGCCGGCATCGCTTGCCCATATTTTATCGCAAGCTTTTTTGCATAGATTTGTTTACATTCCAAAAATGTCATTACACTCCACTACAGCCGATGTGATACTGTACGTACCAGTTCGCAGGCGAACATTTTGACAAGACATTGATCGCAAGGTTTGAACACGTTTCAACAACACTAAAACGATTGCCACCGATTGCGCATAATAAAAAAGACCAAGCATTTCGCACACAGAACGACTCTCAAGTCAAGCGATGCGGTAATAATAGAAACAGGTGATGTGAATTGCGAACACGCGTCTCTTTGATACATATGAATTTATTCGAAATTCGATGAATGAAAAAACTGTTTTATTCGGAAAAGAAAAATATATTTTGAGTAAAAAATATGTTTATGACTGATTATTTTGTAACAATTCCATAAAAAGTAAACACATAAATTCGTTTTTGGTTTATTAATTACATCTTCCACTCATCATAAAATTCATTCTTTTCAACCATTTCCTCTACACAAACCATATCATGAGGTGAAAAAAAAAATTCGAATTTTCACTGAAACAATTCGCAATAACTTAGCATAACACAGAAGCAAATGCAAAATTTCTTCTTCTTAAATGAGAAATGATAATAATTAAGCATAATTCCTTAATTCTAAGATTGTTTGAGTTGAAATAGACCATATTTTGCTGTAACTAAGCGTCTAACTGTTTCGATTCATTGTTCAATATACCGAATTGCGCAATTTCCGCCAAGAACTTACCGATTTCCTTTTTCAACTCTATGTAACACTTCACTGCTGCGATGTAGAATAATAGTGCTAATGCTGTAAAACAAGAAAAATGGTCATAATTCGTTGATAATCGTGACGATTTTTTCAGTAGGTCACCTGTTATGGGAAGCGCTTTTGAAGCCAAGATATTCAATTTGTGATGACTCCAATAGACGTAGCTGTCATTGCCACCATGAAACTTATCCGAAAAAAATAATAGCAAAATGCCCAGTATGAAATAGAGTATCAGCCACACCGTCAATATAATGGACCACCAAACGAGCGGCAGAAGAAGAAATTTCGTCTCTTTCAAAAAAATCCCACAAATCCACATCAACGATGCGATCAGATTTAAGGCCAGAGCTGTGGAAAAAGGAGAATTTAAAATTACGTTTAGGTTTTATGACTTGAGTGATTCACACGTTATTATAAATGTTTTATTATTATTTCCATTTCGTTGACTGCTTGTTTCTTATGAAGCGTCTAAAAGATGTTTCGTCGTCAGATTTGTGGATATATGACTTAAAACGTCATTCAGCTTCAGATAAATATTCATTTGCTTATGCATACTCACCGAATGGCACAATTTCAACATTAAGCTTCTCTTCATCGTGATCCCAAAGGTAAAGCGATGTTCCACTCAATAATATCCCACAGCAGCCGACAACGAATCCGGCAATTTCCCATTTTCCAATTCGTTGACCATCATCCATTTTTCGACGATTTCAAAACTCCGAAAATTACGATTGTCTTTACGATGATAATTTTGTTTACACTTCGAACGCTGGGCTTGTGTTTGATGAATTCAGATGAGATGAAAAAAAACAACTGCCGGTGAAACGCGTATTTTTAACAACAGACTTGAAATTGATATCAAGGCCTCGACGCTTGGAATCGAGCCAAAAAAAAAAGACTGTCTCCGTTCACACTTTCACGCTTCGATGTGTTTTCATAGCGTTTCGAAGACAAATATTCACAATTAGCACCGAACAACAAAATTTCGATTCACAGTTTATGAAATTGAAATTAGGGGGGAAATTCACCAATTTCTCAAGAAAATGTCTTTTTTCAAGAAAGTTCATACAGTTTTGCTTTTTGAGTAAAATATCTTTGATAATTTACAATAACTTTTTAATTGTGAACGAAAGAAAAAATCACGAATTATTTCAATACGGCAGAATTGAACCTTTAAATGGCACAAAATAACCAAATTTCTCCCTTCGTCTTCGTACAAAAGTCGTTTGAAGAAGTTGAAAAAAAAAATTCGACAATGACCGAACAAAAACTACAAATAACCAAAACGATCAAACTTGTTGCGGTAGAAAAACAAATTGAGGCGAAAAAAAAAACCGTCAATAAAAACAAATCTAGGCTTAAAAAGGTGATGAAAAGTGAGTTTTTCCGGACGCCGTTATTGCGATACTACGCACTCAACCGCAGTCGCCAGTCTGCAACAAACGACATTAAAATGATCGCGAGATGATCACAAACTGTAAAAAATGATCCGTCGAAAAGCGACACGTTGCGCATACACACTCAAAATACAGACCGAAATCGTCCGTGTCCCATTCGGCCGTTAACGCTGCAAACAAAAATATTGCGAGATAATTAAGGAAATAATCTAGTTTTTGAGAAGAAAAACACATGGTTTCACCGTAGTTTCTAATTTTATTTGTAAATGCTAAAAATTCATAGAAAAAAAATGACTTAAAAATGACTGAATTTATTCGAGAGTTCATTAACATTCACGTGTTTTATTGCAGTCGACAATTTTGACACGAAATATTCGGTTGAATAGATTCGGTGTTCCCAGTTACAGTCGATATTCGGTTTGTTCACCAATTTTCAGTCGGTGCCGCCGTATAGACCACATTTGCTCTCGGAATTTCCGATCGGTGTCTATTAATGGAATCTTTCAATTTTGCGTAGCATGATACCGCCACCAAATAGAATATCACTAGAAACGCTGGAAACACAAGCGAAAAAAAAAATTAGTTGAAATTTGAGAAGAAATATTTTCATTCGAAACAAGACAAAAAGACGAAAACAAGACGAAATATTCCAATAATTTGTGCACCAATTCACAATTGAAAAAGATGAGAAATCAATAAAAGCCACGATATATGGAAACATTGAATGGATCACAAATCATATTGTCAACCAATTTTTTGATGTAAATTATACCTGTGCCACGAACAGCGATACCATCGAAATATTTGACCATTGCACGACCCAGACCATCTCTCACCAATTTGTTTCTGACATCTATTTTATCAGACACTTTGAGCGTTGTGTAAATTAACATCGCAAACAGCCATAGACTCAATTCCAAGGCCCACGCCGTAAGGCTTATCGCCATAAACGCCGTTTTACTCTAATAAAATGAAATGAAACACAATCGATTAGGTTAGCTTGAAATGTATTACACGATTTATTTAAACGTTTCTTTTTATTCATTTTTTTCAGTGTTTGCTGGATCGAACATGCAATTTTATGACATGCAGTAAAAACTGAATGAATCGAAAAATGATGTTTTCACTATTTTCGGTTTTATGTACCCAACAATTCGACTTCAGAAGGTAGAAAACATTCAAAACGATTGAGAGAATCTGAAAGATTTAATTTAGTTTTGATTTTTAAACTGAACTCGATTTATATTTTGATTTAAATTTTTATTGATTCGACGTTGACTGCGTCTCATCTTATTCAATTGACTCGAAATCACTTCAACTGTTTACCTTCAAATCATTTTTGGTTTGAACTCATTTTTTGACATGACGTTAATTTTTGAATTTGATTCGATTTTTTTCCATCTGAGTTTTGACCAATTTTGACTTGATTTCTAATTTCACTCTATTTTATTTGAATTTTTCTTCCTTCTGAAGTTTAGAATCAAAAGTTAGGGTCAGAATTTGAATTTTAGACTTCATTGAAGTCATGACTTCATGAAGTGAACACTTCAACAATGTAGTATCAACACTCGAACTGCCAGTCAATCGAACTTCCTAAACATTTTACCGTTTCTAATTACTCAATTTTCGATTCTTCAATTTACAAATCACTACAGAAGTTCTTTTTAGATTTAAAACTCTGTTCTTAGAAGTTTCAATGCCCTTACCGAAAAAATTCCCGAGAACCAAATGACAGTGGCTATGAAATTGATGGCAGCTGTGACATAAAATGCTATCGGTTCAATTTTATACGTGACAAATACATGATTGTCGAACTGCCACAGGTAAAATAAAAACACGTAAAACGCGATTTCAACGCAACCCACAATAAATGCGGCGAATTTCCAAAATGTAATTCGGCGACTGCTATTCATTTTGAGTATTTGTTGTAACTCTTGTTATAGTTTGAACACGCTTTGCGCAATTTTCGTATCTCCACTTATGGAGTTGAGTCGCGATTTTGCGTGCTACTTTTTCGCTTCTCGTTTTTGAAGAGAAAAAAAAATAAATTTCTCTGTGGTTTGTAACACCTTCGGGTCAGGCCAAAATTGTATTCACTTATTAGTCATTTTTAATGCATTACGTGGCTCGAAAATGGCAAAATTTTCGAAACAAAGGAACAGATGTTCTAAAATTTCAAGATTTTCAAGTAATAAACACAAGAAAAGCTGGACCTAATCGGTCAAACGTCACAATTTTTTTTTTGGATTCACACTGATGTTTGACTTTAAAGAAAATTATCAGACTGATACATTAAATCAAAAGGTTAAAATAGAATTAAGACGATTCGATCAAAACACTGTTATGACTGTATAGCGGTGGAGAGGCTGTTTTTCAGCCGACAGCTGATTCGATACTGCGTGCGCATGATCTCACACACCAAACGACGGTAAATGAAATTGTTGTGGCAATAAAAGCAACGAAAGTCGATCGCAAACAACGTGTGCTCACGACCTTTGTGTATTCACACATTTAAATGTGTCGCACCTACAAGCGAAAGATCTTTGGGAATACATACGTTTTACGCATTCTGCAGAATACGTGCGATGAGAGAACGGAATTCAGAGAATGGTGATTGAGAAAATACTGTCGGGTTTGGTTACAAAGGAAATTTTATTTAAACGTAAAAACGGATATATTTGTTGATTTCTGGTGTTTCCAACGCAATGATAAGTCTTGCTATAAGACGGTGGACTAATTTAGTCAATTTCAGCATCAAAATTACCATCGATGAATTGAATGATGCATATAAATAGGCCTAAATTGTGAATTAAGGATTTTATACTTGGAATTATCATTGTCTCCTGTTAAAAGGAATACACATTCCAACATTTATTCTGGAGTTGATCGAGTTTATTCTCTTTAAATTTACATGAGTTACAGCTTGAGTCTTCAATTTTACATTTCATTGGGTTCAATTTTGAAGATTCTTGCATTAAATTCAAACACAAATCGATCAAAAGGTGAAAAGCTATTTATTGGATAAATGGAAAATGACCATTGGTCATGAATTATCAATATTAAATGAGAGAGTCAGACATTTTATTTACTTATTCATTACTTTTCCACACGATCATGTTGTGTAAGAAAAGTATTGAGATCGACAGAAACACTAAAAATCTGTTTTTTTTTCTCTCGACCAATCCGATTCCATTTTATGTGCTGCAGATGTTCTTTCGCTTATTTGAACTGAACAGATTTCAATATCGATTCAAAGTGGAATTTTCTGAATTTTGAAGAGAATAAGCCAGAATGAATCAAAAGAACATTTGTTTAAAACAAATGGGAAGAGTTTCATCAGATCGGAGTTGAATGAAACTTGAATGAGTTACGTATTATACGAAAAACAACTCTTTGTCAAAGTTGGCTTCTTTCAACATTTAATCGTTCATCAAGTAATTTCCATATTATGATACATTCTTTCTCTAATTGAATGAATTTAGCAAAAGAATAACTAAAGTTTAACATTGATCAATCAAAGGGTTAGTTCCATTGAACCGCCGAAATATTGAATTCGAAACATAATGATGATAAAGGAAAATGCGCCGATAAATACATTTCATTGAACTTTATTTGCTTTATTCATTTAGTTTGTTCAAAGAGGAATGAGAAATCAGATAACGTGTGATTTAAGAATTCTAAAAACTGAATTGAATGTGGTTCACCTGTGATTGAGAGATACAAAAAGTTATGGTTTGAAAATAATTCAAAATGATAAAAATTGGGCAAGTTTAAGTATTAGTTGAATTGCGGCACTCGAATTGATTCTACGTTCATTTCTTCTGACGATGAACATTCTTCATGTGACGATTTTCGTTATTTTGAGTAGAGAAACGAGCATCGCACAGTTCGCAATGGAATGACTTCTCGCCTGTGTGTTTTGGTCGCATGTGCTTCTTCAAATAAGTTTTTTCAAAACATTCATACTGGCACAAGTAACATTCGAATCTACGGCAGCTGCATCGCTGTTCATGTAATTGTTTGTTGTTTTCTTGTGCAAATCGTTTGCCACATTTTAAGCAGGCGAACGGAAGGTGTTTAACGTGAGTACGTGAATGTCGGTGGAGATGAATTTTCTGTATAAATGTTCTGGAACAAACCGAACACTCGAACGGCTTCAATCCACTGTGGGTTCGCATGTGTCTCCTCATCGATGACAATTCTTGAGTGATATATTTGCACGCGAAGCACTCATACTGACGCCGCTGGCATTTGGATTCATGATCGCCCTTATTAATTTCTTGAGCAAATCGTTTTCGACACTTTGAACACCGAAATGTCAATCGAGGACCGTGGATTTTTTCATGTTGACGCAAATGACTTTTCTGTGTAAACGATTTCGCACACACTTCGCACGTGAAAGGCTTCTCACCGGTGTGAACTCGAGTATGCATGATGAGACATGATTTGAACGATGCGACGTAACTACACAAATTGCACTTGTGCTTCTTCTGCCTCTTTACGGCTGCTTTCTTCGATGCTTTGACACTAGTAACCTTCTTTTGATTCGATAGCTTTTCATCTTTGACCTTACGCTTCTTCTTTTTGCCTTTGCTGTTTGAATAAGGTCCCGGATTGACCACACTATCACCTGGCACATCGTCGTCACCATCATTGAAACTTACATTTTGTTTCGAGTCACACTCCTTCTTTGCACATTCACATTCGCTCTTCACCTCTTCCTTAACAAAATTGTCATCGTAATCGAAATCCAGCTCGTTGTCAGTCTCGAACTCCGATTTTAACGCACCAGTTGCTTCTGCTGATGATGGCCATCGGTGCGGTCGTGTGATATCAACCATTTCTGTGTTGTCTTTTGGCTCCTCTTTCACAACAACTTCTTGCTTTATTTCATCTGATGGGCGCGCTGATGTACGCTTGCGTTTACGCTTACTCTTGCTATTGTCATGGCAAGAACATTTACTTGGGAACGGATTCATTGCAGCTACATGATGAAAAGAGCAAGGAAATTAATAAATTTGTTTAAACTTTGATTAAAAGCTGAAAAATGTGTTATTTATGTCCGAAAAAAAAAAACATTTTTTTTGATACGATTTGCAAAAGTGATATTCAATTAAAGTCTGTCGTACAATTGATTGCACAAAATGCACACACAACGCGAAAACATGAGCCACAAATTTCCATTTGTCAAACAATATTGTGCTTATAATGCTTTAAAGCATCGGATATAAACGTCGTGAATGGAATGAAAACATTGTGGAAGTGTGGAAGAGAACATAAGAAGGAAGAAACTAAAATGAAATGTATCACGTAGAATGAAAAGTTTGCACTTCCATGGAGATTGAATTCGGAAAAATTACTTTTCCAAAGCTAAATTTCATGAAAAGACGCCTGCAATTTATACTTTCTGATGTAATTCATCACAAAATGCGTCAGACACATTCACATGCTTTGCAATGGGATTTTCGTCGCACTTTTTGCTAGACTTATTGGAATATTCCAAATTCAATTTGGTTTTAATAAAAATGTGAATGTTTCGGAAACTCACCTTTGTTTTTATTTGCTCAATGTACAAATGGTACCGTACAATGTAAAGTGTTTCTATTTTCGGATCTTTATCTTTTTCTAAGCAGACGGTCCTTTACTGTGAATTCGCTGACTGTGCTGTCAATGGTGTGCTGGTTTTACCCATGGTGACATTTTGCAGCAGTGTGAAGTTGGCTGTATCGAATCAGACTTTAAATTTGAGTTGACTTCAATCATCAGGAATCAAAGCATTTTGGAATGAAATGAATCAAATTCGCATGTTGATCGGATTCATGTTATAGAACATTGACTTGAATACACCAAGAATTGTTTCCAGTATTTTTGGCAGAATCATTCTCAATAAGAAGTTTAACGAGTTCCATTCGTTTTGCATGATTGGTCATTTTTGATGATGCTTCGGAAGAAATGTTTTTCTGCTCAAAGAAATTCATACAATTCATAGTTCAGACAATGGCATATAATTTGCTCGCTCTTATTCATCTAGGGGCAATTATGCCATTAGTATTCACGAATGGCTACGAATACTTGTGTTCACTCAAACGTCAGTAGCGATTGAGCGCTAAAAACGCCATAAGCAATGAGTTCACGTGTGTTTCAGATATAAGAACAGAAATTGGGCGGAAAACTACCGGCAAATTTAGAAAAAATCATAATAAGTGCTGGATTTGAATGCGAAACTGCTCTGTTATCCATTGATTCTAAAAGCATTAGCGATATAGAAGAATTTATAAACGAACATAAATTTTATTAGAAAGATACGGCGGTGTACGAATATTGTCTGGCAAATAATTCAGTGTTCATGTTCAAACCGGGACATCGAGCATTAATATTGTTGATATCAAAAGTCTTGAATCGCTCCACCATAAATAAAAAACGAAACAAAATGGGTGTAAAACAGTATTTTCATACGAAGAATTTTTGAGTTTTGCTGACAATGTTAAATACCTGTTTGGAAAGCGTAGAAATATGCCAGAAGTGGAGATTAGAATTTGGACCAACATTGTTGGTATCTTTATACTTATGACTTATGTTAAGCCACTCGCAAATGAGATAAGAATTTGAATGTATCAAATGTGATAAGAATACTATAATAGTCCATAAGCGTACACATGAAATAAATGATGAACTTTGAAAATTTCAGTAGAAGTCTCGATTTGTTTTCAATCCTTGAATACTCCGGTCATTTCATTGTTTTTACCGAGTGAACCAAACTCTTATTTTCATCGCTTCTCGGCCTAAAGGCTAAGATCAAAGTGTAGTGTACAAAACAAAAATTGAAAAAGAAAATATCAGCTCAAAAATGGAATATTTATTGCACGTTTTCACTTGAAAGTGATCAGGATTCACTAACACTGTTCAAACCAGATTGAAATTTAGATTAATTCTTACGATTTACTCGGAACAATTTATTTACATTCTGTCGAAAGAACTAATTGGATTTTTGATGTGGACCGCTTGTGGCTTAGGTTTCGGGTAGAACATTTTTCCGCTGGGTTTCTTCAACAAATATTCGATTTGGATGTGATGTCTCTCCATAGTTACCTACGAGATATCAATCATTCAGATCGCGTTTCATATTCAGCACGTTTGGGGTTTCACAAATCCAGGAGAAAACGATTCAATACAGTGAGCAATTTGAAATTTTTGAGCTGTTTTTTTTTCTTCTGAAAACCGATGTTCCAACAAAGCAACAATATCAGCATGGTTAAAGATTGACAAACAAGAATTGAAATTAATATGCTACACTAAAATTGAATACGGGAACTGAAAGAAATCATCCGATTATTCAGCTGAATTAGTGGCGTTCAGCTATTCGCCACCTGAAAAATACACATCGATCATAACAATCAAACCAATTTCCTATTTAGTGAAAATAAATGCACAAAATTACCATTGTTGGCAGCATATTGAATCTATTCCAATTGCTCTTCAATATTAATTTTGTTTCCTTTACCGATAAAGAGTTTGGCGACATCATCGTGACCTGGGCAATAATAATACAGATCAATGGAAAAGATCGAAGCGATTTCTTATTCAGTCCCTTGGTCCTACCATTTTGAGCAGCTAATTGAAGAGGTACACGATTCTCATTATTTTTAATACCAGTATTGGCTCCTTTATCGATGAGAAGCTTAGCGATACTTTTGTAACCTGAAAATTAGTTTAAATTGATGAAAAATATCAAGCTAATTTCCTATTTAGTGAAAACACGTATTCAAAATTACCATCCTCAGCAGCATAATGGAGAGGTGTATATCCCAAATTATTTTTACTATTAAGTTTGGCCCCTTTGCCGATGAGAAGTTTAGCAATATCTTTGTACCCTGAAAAATAATTCAAATCGATGAAAAAGATCAAATCAATTTCACGCGGTCTCATAGCTTATTACAATGTATTTTAATCATGATAATAATAGTGAAATATTCAAAATTACCACGAAAAGCAGCTGAATGAAGAGGTGTCGATTTCATATTATTTTCACTATCAAAAATGGCTCCTT